GGAGTCTCATTCATATTTTAAAAAATAAACAAAACATTGCCTTGGATTCCAAATCACGGCGGCCCGATGAACTGATTCATAGCGTTTTCTTGGCTGTCAGTTACAGAAACAACACTGTTGGATGGGTCCACATTGCCATCTTTCAATTAGTAGTTTGTGTTTTACAAACTGTGCCCCCAAGGCACCTGTATACGTCTAGATCTAGAAAACTAGTGGATGATCTTCAATCAATGCTATCTTTAGTACAGAAGTGAGTAATGTGTGAAAAAACAAACAAACAAACAAACAAGAATAAAAAGTTATGCTTTGAAGCTTTAGAGAAACCTGTCTTTGTAAACAGAATTAAGCATGTATGCATTTGCTAATTATAAGCCAATGTACATAACTCAAGGATTGTATGTATGTTTTAAAGTTCCTGTCACACTTTATGCAAAAAGACAAACATTTATTTAGGTCTTATCAAGTTCTTTGGGTAGTGCTTCTGCCCAAATAAAGTGAGTTACTGGGAAAAAAATGTACCTTAGCAAGTATTTTAGATATAATAGAATACCATGATCAACATGTAAATAATTTTTAAATACTCCATTTATTCCATTTCCTGTTATATCTTGGAATCCAAAAGTGATATCCTAACATAAAGCCTGCTGTTTTCAAAATGCAGTCAGGGAGTATTCTTCTAGTTATGATCAAACACAGCCAAGTCAAAGTAACATAGCAATTTTAAATCTGTAACTGGTTACTCACTTATATGATATACTGTATGCATCAAGAAAAGGAGCTCTGGTAGCGTAGTGGTTACGAATTGGGCTGCGAACCACAAGGTCAGCAGTTCGAAACTACCGGCTGTTCCGCGGGAGAAAGATGAGGCTTTCTGCTCCCATGAAGACCTACAGCCTCGGAAACCCTGTGCAGGGTCACTATGATGGGAAATGACTCCATGGTACACAACAACAACAATGTATCAACGGTGTGTAAGGCTTTACATATTGTTACCCCTTTGTATTGATAAATGATGCCAGCAAAAATAAATGTCAGAAGAGGGTAGCACTTCCACCAAGTTCTTAAGACACTTTAGTGCATGTGTGTACGTGGCATGGTGATGAGGGTGGACCCTTCTCTGGATCCATTTGCAGAAGGTGATGTGGCAGCTTTTCTGCCAGGCCTGTTAGCTCTCCTCTGAATCTGACATAATAGATAAACTAGGATTATCCCTTTCTTCTGGGTGCTGTTAAGTTGTTGAAGAGTTGGTCTTCAACTCATGGTGACCCTATGGACAATAGAATGTAACACTGCACAGTCCTGCACTAACTCCACGGTTGGTTGTGGGTGTCACTGTTGTGATCCAAAGGAATTTTGTTAGCTGACTTAGCTCTGCGGAAACCTATTCTGCATCATGTTATTGTTAAGTGGCATCAAGTCAGTTCTGATTCAGTGACAGTTTCCAAGGAGCGGCTGTGCTACCTTGCGGCTAATGGTCCAATGCTTCTCTCTCATCACCACACCAGGACTCTGTGAGCATTCCTGTTGTGTCACGTGTTGTTGAGTCAGTTCCGACTCATAGCAAATCAATATAGGTCATCCAAGGAGCAGCTAATGAGGTCCAATCACTGATCTTGTGGTTCAAACTGAACTTGCGGTTCCACACTTAAGCTACAGCGCCACAATAGCAGTATGCAAGGAGTCCTGGTGTGGCGCTGCGGGTTAATGCGCCAGACTGCAAAGCGGACTTAACTGCAAGGTTGGCGGTTCAAGCTCACCAGCTGCTCCTCGCAAACCCTATACAGGGTCCCTATGGGTAGGAATCGACTCGACGGCACTTAACAACAATGACAGAAGTGGGGTGGCTCAACACAGCAAGCACCAGCCAAAAACCCCACCCTGGTCTCATACATGAAAGAAGTGCTACCGCCGAACCACCCATTTTTACCAGGCATACACCAGAGGTTCCAATAAGTTTGTGGAAAATGTCCATCATATTTTGTTTATTTTTCAAGAAACTTTCTGAAGCCTCTGCACATTAACACTTTAAAAAAAAAAAAAAAGATTTAAAAATCCAATTAAATTTTTAATATTATGGCATGCAGACATACTCCCGCGTCATCTTAAAATTTGTGAGCCCTTAGGTTTTTATTAGGAATAGCCATAGATTTAGTTTCCTATTTCTTGTCTTCTCTGAATGCTTCATTCCAGTAAATTCAACTCTGGGTATGGCCTTCCTGTTTCACCCTAAAAGTAGATAAATTTGTAGTTTGAAACCTTTGAAAACTAGGTAATTATAATAGTGTTTATTTATTCCACTTTAGACAACACATCCTTCAAAACTCAAGATTTAAATGCTATTGCTTTAACAAAATCTTTTATCCCAATTAGGTCTAAGATTTGGGAAGTTAGAGATTGATTTCACAGAAAGATCATTTATAAGTATTTTCTTTACACATCAGTTATCAATAATAATTCCGCCTTTACCGTAGTGGTTACGAATTGGGCTGCAAACCGCAAGGTCAACAGTTCGAAACTACCAGCTGTTCCGCGGGAGAAAGATGATGCTTTCTGCTCCCGTAAAGATTTACAGCCTCGGAAACCTTGTTCAGGGTCGCTAAGGATCGGAACTGACTCGATGGCACGCAACAACAATTATCATTTTTAGGATGGAAGTAAAAGTGGAAGCTACTCTAATTGCTCTAGGCACTACTCGGCGTGCAGGAAGGACTGCGCCAGAGAAGCACGGGTACCTCAGATACAGATTAGCAGGTAGGCGGTCCAGGCATGAACATATGTGCAACTCATGTTCCATCCTTCCCCCATAACTAACATCCCTCACAGGCCAACCGACAGGTAGCACGGGCAAGCTTACTACTTTAGTATGCAGAGTCAGAAGGGACATGTCTGGAATTTTCCCCTTGGAGTGATAAGTAGAGGCAGCTAAGTCAGCTCTGCATTGCTGGGTGGGGCTATGAAAAGAATTTTGCAAGCATTTTATTTCGCTTTTACTGGCACATTTGACTTAACCCCCGAGGCTCAGAATGACTCTTTTTCTTTCTCCATATCTTTTCTTCATCTAATTCGTCCACATCCTCATTTATTCAGTGGGCATGTTTCCAGTGTTACACGGCAGTGGGAGATTCTGTTTTCTGGTTCTCCGTTCACATTTGTAATTCTTACCTTGATCACACCTAACACTGCTGCCAACTCAGACCTTTTCAATTTGATCTGCTTTAAGATGACACGTCCTGGGGACGGAAAGCAAACACTGAGACTCTGACTCATAATAGAAACAGTGTTATCATCCATGTAGCAATTTTACATGCTTGTTGATAACCTTGAAATCGAAAAAACTAATCTTCCTTGAGAACAAATAGCAGAGATTCAGGTCTTCAGTGCCCTCTCAACCCACACAACGTGATTTTTATTCGTTTTGACATTCTAGAGGGAAAGCAGAATTATGGGAAGGGCGGAAATGTGGGGGGAGGGGAAGTCTCTATTCACACTATAATGAACGGAAAAATAACAGCCAAGTTCGGTTCTGCTGAAATGTAACATAGCCATAGCTTTATCAATCTGGAGGCACATTTTGACATAATCACATACTGAGGAAGAAGAATCACCTTTATCTAGGTCAGAATGACAGATCCCCAAGTGTTAGAGAGCTTGGGGGGAAACTACAGTTCGAAACACCAGGAGGGAGATGACAATCCATACAGAGATTTTCATCGAGTCTTTACACTGCCTAATAGTTTTCATCCAATGCACTGTAATTACTTCACTTGCTTATAACGGTATCGCATTTTGACTTTGGAGCCTACCAAAATACAATGCGCCACATTTTATGACAACTCCGTTTATAATAAGATGCAGATGGTAAATTAGGAAGCAGATGCCTCTGACATCATCTCCCGTTTGCCTTCAACTTTTGCAGACACCGGCAGTCTGTCTGCAAACTCCCTCAAAAGGATGCAAGATAGTCAGGCAGTTTTCCAAGTCTCTTCCTCATCTATAGAACGCTGCCAACAGTGGCACTGTTTTCTCTGAGTCATACGTACAGTGATCATTCCACAAAAAGAAATTGGATTCTAAACCTGTGTTAGGCTGCAATGCCCAAGTAATCATCAGGGGGGCAAAATCCCCCACAAATATCGGGAGTTTGGCAATTAGTAACTACTTATTGTTTTTCTTGATAGAGACAGACAGGCTAGGTAGGGAGTGAGTGGTATGACGGGGAACAGCTGTGGATTCAGGGAGGCAACGAAGAGAAAGGAGAGTTTTAAACATATAAGTACGTGGAAAATAATCTAGCATCCTTTGGCACCCAAACTCTTCCTAGACACATTCCTTATTATTTCTTTAAAAAAAAAAGAAAAAAGGTTGTTAAGGTCACTGTCTCTGACCTCGATAAAATGCATGCAGTCTGTATTTCCACAATATTTTCATAGGAGCCTTTGACTATCCTTCCTCTTCTGCAGTGACAGCAGTGAGTATTTATTACACACAGTAAAAGGGTTTTTTTTTTTTTTTTGCATGTGTGTACAAGATAAATGTGTTAGAAGACTTCTGTAAAAAAGACAGGGAGGGATCTTTGTAGTCCTTCTTGAAAGCCTAAGATGCTTGGGTAAAGCAGCAACTGTAAGGCCTTCAGCAGTGTGTGAGGTCCCAATGCAGCACAGTTACAGATGAAGAAAAGTTAAGACAAAAAACCTTTAAAATCTTTCCATCTCCCCAGATCCCTCCGACAGAACTTCATCTACACCTCTGCAGCAGAAACATTTAGCAGAAAAACATTTCGGAAGCAAAGGCAAGGAAAGTGGTGAGAAAAAAATTAATCAAGCTAGGCCAAATATGGTGTCTTTTTAAAATAATCTCTCTGTGCAAGTAACAGACTGAAAATACACACACACACACACATACACACACACACAGAGTACAAGAATAAACAAACTGTTCTAGTTCATATCCACAAATTGGGAGGGAAAGTATTAGTGCAAATTTCTGCTGACCTGCAGCACCTAGTTCATAAACTTTGGATATCCTAGACGAGCCATCAAGGTCCAGCAGATGTTTTCAATCACTTTAATTTCCTCTCTCGGCAAGTTTTGTTTCCAAACATTAATATTAGTTGGCGATATTTCCCCTTCATAGGGAAGGTAGAAAAGGTTCGTGGAGGTGGCAAATAATATTTGGTTTAAACTAGCAGGAGACAAAGGAATTCCAAGAAAGGCAAAAATCCTTTCAGTAGTTTTCTGAGGAAAATGCACAATATCTTCAAACTTGACTAACTGGTAGCTGGCAGCCAACAAATCTGTATTTATTCTCATGGCTGCTGCTGTGTTAGCTAGCCAGAGATGAGATAACAAGGAGACAGCATTTGAATTGGATTTTGATAATTCTTTCCGCAATGATTCGTATTCAAAAGCATAGCCCGAATCTAAGTTACATTTGCCTTTACCAGCCTCTATTTTAAACAGTTTAGATAAGTGCTCTGGTACATTCTTCAAGGAGTAAAGACTTGGTCTGCTACTGTACAGTATTGAGTAAATCCATGCCCGAGGGTCCCTTATAACATACAAGGCCTTCAGTGACGTCCCTAACACTTCTTGGAAAAAAGGAAGCTTTAACGTCCAGCTCCCACTGCTTAAACTCAGCACAGGTCGTGCACTTGGGTAAAAGGCCAAGTGTCTCCTCAATGCCCTAACATATTCAGCATCTCTGTCAAAGGTGCCTTTCATTCTGGTTCTTTGTTCCTGCAAAGACTCTCTCCTTCTCAATTTTCTTTTTTTGTCTTTGTTGGCTGCAAAGTATTGGGTCAGTTTACCCCTACTGGGCTCATGCAAATGGATATTTTGCAAATGTAGTTTTGTGTCTTGGACTAAGGACTGCAACCAGCCTCGGAGTAAACGAAAATGACCACTGCGGACATCTGATGCCTTCCACTCACAGGCATCTACAAATGAGTCAATCTCAAACTCCGTTTCAGGAATATCAATGTAGGTTGTAGGGACCCTGATGTAAAGAAAATCACTGCTGTTAAAGAAAAGTTGCTTGAGAATTTCAGCTCCTGAACCAGGAAGTGAGGTAATGACAACATCGGGAAGATGGATATAGTGCTCTTCAGATGACAAGGACTTCTTGCTGGTCTTGGCCTCTGGCCTTGTCCATTTCGCACAGATGGGCTGAGTGCAAGTGCCCCATACATCCAGGAGCTCAATGAACCACAAGGCAATCACCAGGAGGAGTATCCACCGCATCAGCTTTCGAAAAGAAATGTAAAACTGCCACTGAAAAGCTAAGATCACCAGACTAATGCACAAAATCAATCCAACTGCTATATTAAATTTAAATCCAAAGGGGAAAATAACTCTATCATGTCTTATGGGCTTTCCTACTGTTTGTGTGCCCAAACCAAATCGTGTGATTTGGCCCTGATCAGTCACAGTGGCATAGCCACCAAATCCCAGGTAACTGAACCTTGTCTTCAGGTCATGGTAGTCAGTGACAATGGAAACAACATGTTCAGTATTATTGACATTAAGAGATATCTGAAGCCCCGATTGGGAATTGTCAATAAATCTGCAGCTGGACACATTGACATATGGCCCATAGAAGACATATGCAATCCTCATGCTTGTGGATTGCATTGGAAATGTAACATTAACAAATTGAGTCCACCGTTTCTTAAATTCGGCAGCTTGTTCGGCTTCCTGAATACTAGCCATGGGACTATGGCCATGATGATCAAACCAAAACATTTTGTAGTGGGCATCCCACACATCCATCATAGCGCCATTGTATCTGTTCATAAATCTATACGAGATGTACTTAAAATCAATATCCAGATTATGAAAGAAGGCACTGACAGAACTGATCGGGGAATCTTCGTGCTTATCAATGTGATCAACAACGAGCAGTGTCTGGGAGTTTAAGAGAAGCAAAGCCCGATACACACTTTTGAGTTTCATTGCTGACGAATACGCCGACACTGCCTCCCCACTCACAAACATCCTTTCCCCATGTTGAGAGGCAGTGATGATCTCCCCAGCGGCGTCACCAACCTCCTCACCTGTCCACCTGAGCCACTGTGCACATTCTCCTAGCTGGCCCTCCCAGGGCTTATTACACTGGCTCGAAGGTGACGGAGCAAACACTAGCACATTGTTAAGGTGGCTCAACTTGGGTCCATAAAGAGCTTCGGAAACAAAGACTTGCCCATTTGGGGCAAAAGTAAATGAGTTCTGATCCGGATGTTCATGTCCTGGATTAAAGCTTCTCCAGCCATCAATCCAGGAGTATGGCTGAAAGTGAACTATGTCATAGACAGCACGCCCTCCCAGCTTCCCCGATTTAAAAGACACAAAGGTATTGGCCTGGGTATATGGCAAGCCAGCCCCATACGTAACAACACCCCAGTTAGGGAATATGTGCATTTTCGCAGTACCATAGTCAGCAGGAGGCTGTGGGGTTAGTTGGGGATCATACCAAATGTATTCAGTATGAAGAGTACTCCATCTCTGAGCAGTGGAGGGAACCATTGGGCCATCTTTAGGTCGGTACTTTCTAATTTGTTGGGCTAACCAGTTTCCAGCTCCATTCTTTAAGACGAACTTATCCAAGAAAACTAACTGACTTTCTGGACCATAAAACCAATTGTAATTGGAGTCTGCTATACCCACAGTTCTTTGGAAGCCTGGTAAAAGCGTGGCATAATAGAACCAAAAGTGCATTTTTAACCAGTTATTCTCCAAGTTGTTGATATTAAAATGGCGCTGGGCCAGAAAAACATACTGTGTGACTGATTTGGATGTATAGCTTCCATAGGCCACACCTTCATCCAAAGAACCATCAACAATATGATTCAACAGAAACATTGTCTTTTCCATCACATCTACTACAATCTGCTTCCATATATTTGCTTTAGATCCTTTGTCTGCCCCAGTCACCAAGGCCCCAGTGAGTAACGCCATCATATTAGTAGCTTGGTGGTTATGAAGAAGTTGTTTGCCCCAGGAGCGGACCTTGGAATACTCATACATTTCCTCAGTAACAACCCAGATTTTTTCCAGATATTTCTGTCTTCGATGATTATCTAATAAGTTATATAAAAAGTCAAAGGCAGTGGCAAAACCTGTTAAAGAATGGCCAACTGGAACTTCATCCCCTGGGGCATTCTCAACCAGCCAGTCCTTATAAGCAACCATCCTGTCCATATATTCCAAGACAAATTCAAAGGCGACTTTGTCTTCTGGGCACAACAAACAGTACAATGCTAATGGAGGCAGATTGTTGCCATAGATTTCATTCCACTTAGCAGCAAAATCAGCATGCTTGGGTGGAGGTAGGTAGTATGTTGGATTAGACAGCATAACCGTCACTGCACTTCTGATCGCTCGAAACAACTGTAAATGGCTCGTACGAGACTTCTGCCTCATTGCTTGGATTTCTCCAGCATCAAAGTATAAACTTGGATGAAGCATACTTTTCTTCGGCCTTTGGTTGGGTCTGAAATCTTGTACTTTCTGGGTTTCAAACTGATTGATTTCATCGGTGAACACTGCCCATTCGGAGTAATTGCTCACAGATTCCTCAAAAGTAGAGAAACCAAACATCACTAATGCTAAAAATAAGAAATGTCCTGTAAACATTAACGCCATGATCCATCAGGGAGTTTGTTGTTGTTGTTGTTGTTGTTGTTTTTCCTTAGGCATACATGTCAAACACAGTGCTCAATGTGTTTCCCATCTGGTTAGTACAAAACATACACTTAAGGCCTTGATAAAACAAAGACAGTAAATTGTATATGCTGTGAAATCCACCTGCCATACGGCTCATTCAAATCAGCTGCAGTTACCAAAATGAGAAAACTTATATTGGATATCTGTGCCCTTTAACAGTTTGGCTTCCAGTAAAGCTCCAAAGAATGTTAGAATCTCCGTTTTTCCTAACAAACAGGAAACACTAGTATGATAGTCAAACATACTAAGAATTCAGCATTTACTTCATTTACATAAATCTTTCGTTTAACATGAAGAGTGGAAAACACACATTATGAAAAAAGAAGGAAAAACACTCTCAAAACCAAAGTCAGTCATTTCTAGCCTAGCAAAGCATCACTGGCCAGACAATCAGCCCATGTTAGGATGTGCTGGCATTCCCCTAGAAATGTTGATGAAATACTAGAAGTCTTGCAGTCCATTCAGCTGCTGTTGCTCTCAACTGTTTGTTTTGAGAACTTTTTCTTCTTCCATTTTGTTCTTCCCAAAACATCCTCAACAAATGTCCAGAGTTCTACATGGTTTACAAGAAATCTAAATTCCTGCTCTCGTTTCAAATGTCTCTTTTAGGCTGACTTACTCAGTAGCCTATCATGATCCTGAGAAAGCATTTTCATGTATTCTTTTCCCAGCTTCATCTGGAAAATGGGAAACATGGAATTTCTTCAGCCATCTAGGGATTTCGTCTCTTCCCATCTTGAAGTAGCCATCAGCCGGGAAAGAAAACTCCCCGTTCAGCAACACTGGCATTTCTTTTCTGTTCCTTTTCCATGACACTCTTTTCTGGGGGCAGAGGAAGGGGGAAAACAAAACAGAACAAAGACAGTCTGTGAGGATACAGGGAGGCTGGGAATAGACACAAAGCAAGGATTCAAATCTTCAGCAGTTACTCAATGGAAAGTTAGAACCCCAGTGCAATCTGTTATGCCCAACCTCAGTGTCTGTCTCCCCAGGCTGTGCTGTCATTATAAAGACACATATGAGGATCCCATGAAGGACAAGAAACTGCATGAAATCACTTTCCTGACAGTTTTCCTATTTGACGTGTGGCTTGCATTACGGTCAAAAAGGTTTTTAGTAAAATAAGGTGAACACAGAGATGACTTCTGCGCGCTTTCTTGCTAGTCCCGCTCACCAAGGGGATGTCCCATGGACTTTGTAAAATCCAGGCAGGGTGTGGCTTTCATCGGACCGGAGGGGGAACTGCGAGGCGGAGCCACTTGCTACCCAAGGAGAAAGCCCGTCTCTCGGAGCCTCACTCTGCGTCCCGAGAAACCGCCGCCAGAGGGAGCTCGGAGGCAGGCTGGAGGCGCAGCTCCAGCGTCTGCGGGTGCGGAACCCCCCAAGTTTCAGTCCAGGACAAGTCTCCGCCCGGCGAGTTTCCCGTGCCGCCCCGCCTGTTGCATTTTAGCATCTGCTCGGGTTTCCTGCGAACGCGTCGGCCCCGGCCTCAGCTCCCGGCTGACCCGAGTCCCCTTACCTCGGCAGGTCCCCGCCGGCTCTCCCGAGGCGCTGGCTCCCGCTCAGGCCGAGGTGGAGAGTTCGAGAACACTGCTGTGCCGGGGGCGGCCCGCGGGCTCCAACCCCTCTGCCGCGCCCACACTCCGGACCCGCCTGGCCTCGGGGCGCGCGGACAGCGCCGGGCAGCGGGCAGCGGGTATTGGCGCGGCGGGCGCTCTACGGCCGTCTCCACAGGCCGCGAAGCAGACGCTCCTCCGAGCCAGCTCCGGCCGCGCGGTCCGGGAAGGGCGAGAGATGCCGACGCGGACCGACGGGGGCGGGGCCAGGACGGACGGGGCGGGGCGGGGCGGGGCCGGCGCCCGTCGGAGTCAACCACGAGCCAATGGCGGGCCTTGCAATGGACGGGGGCGGGACCTGAGCGGGAGCGGGCCCTGTACCCGTCGGATTCTATCGCGGAGACACGGGCGCGCGGGCTCTGGGCTGCGGCGGCAGCGCGCGCTCCAGGCGGCGAGTGGCGGGAGGAGGGAAGTTTGCAAACCTGGGCGTGTGGAGATCCTAGGCAGTCCTATTGATTCAGGGGAGACGATCACTGCCCCTGGGCTGGTGGAGGGAGTGGGACAGGAGTCGGGGGAGGAATGGGAGAAAGGGGCAGATGCCGGGATGACAAATGAATGGGGAAGCGGAGGGAACGAGGATGACGCACCGGGACTGGGATCGCCCTTTGGAAGAGAAAGGGCTTAGAGGGAATGAATGTGCGGTCTTTAAGAAAAGTAAAGTCTGGTCACCCTGATGGATTTGTGAAGACGACTTCAGGAGCACAGCTACTAAGCATAGCTAATCTCTGCCGTGATTGAAGAACATTTCTCCTGAAGTACAAACGTGGGACAGTCTTGCATAAACAAGTAAGGGTCTCATTCTCATACAGAAATGGAAGCTGGCATTCAGTAAACACTTACAGACCTGACAAGGCAGCGGACCTCCGTTCCTCTGACGCGTGTGCAATTCCAGGCTTGAAGTCCTACAACAGCTGTGAATCCTGCTGGACTCAACATATGGAACTTCTCACACATTTTGTAGCTAGTCCAAACTCTGAGCTCAACTGTCTCAAATAGAAGTACTGTGAAATATCTAGAGTCACAAATGCAGTTCATCCTCAGTTAGGGATCGGTAGATCCTTCAGTCTTCTAACCCACCCTGTTTTGTTAATGTGGACAGATGAATCCGTTACAAAAATGAATGTCTTTCTTAGATGGCTTTCAAACAGTAGACTGCTGTTAGCGGAATACAGTTCAAATAACTTGAAGATGAAATTTGACTTCTGCCTTTTCTATTTTATCCCAATGAGAACTCAGCTTCAGTTCAGATGACCGAATATTTTGTTTTGGTGCTTTGACAATGCTGTTTATTGTACTCTTTCCCTCATAAAATTCTCACTCATTGTTTCCGACTACTGAAATTCTCTCATCATCCAGCTTTGCAAATACATCCTGGTTGATGTAGCCAGAATGAATTACTTCAGCACTGTTATCTGTACCGATGTTCAGCCCTGAAATATTTTATGTTTATGATTTCACCTGGCTGACTCCCGTCCTGAAAATTCATTTAAAGGCATCAGTAGTCAGTCGCTTCCCCCCAAGCCCTCCTTGTTGTTGTTGTTAAGTGCCATCGCGTCAGTTACGACCCATAGCGACCCTGTATAGGGTTTCCGAGGTTTGAAATAAATGGAAACTTTAGCAACAGGAAACACATAGAGCATTCTCTCCAGGACTGAGTTCCTCATCTGAACTCCAAAATTAGCTTGCCTATGAACAATTGGATTGATTCGCTATGTAGTCCATTCTGGGGGCAGATGAACCATGACCTCGATCCTCCATTTTAGCACAGAGTTGTTGTTGTTAAGTGCCTTTGAGTCAGATCCAACCCATAGTGACCCTATATAGGGTTTCCGAGGAGTGGCTGGTAAGCTTTAACCAACAACCTTGCAGTTCAAATCAACTTTGCAGTTCATCAGAATAGAGCTGGGGAAAAGGGAGAAGAAATGTAGCCTTTGCTATAGTTTCTACAGATGGAGCTATGAGAATTGTCAGGGGATTAATGTTTGTTGCTGTTGTTGTTGTTACGTGTCATTGAGTTGATTATGATTCATAGTGAACCTGTATAGGGTTTCCAGGAAGTGGTTGGTGAGTTTGAACCACCAACCTTGTGTCCCACAGCGCCACACCAGGACTCTTAAAGTTTGTAAACACACTTAATAGATATATGCAGACCATTCATGAGAACAAAACATGTGGGTGGGGTTATTTCATCCTGTTGCTTCAAAGTACCTGATGATGTTAAGAATGATGAATCAGAGAGCTGTCATGTACTTTAATATCTGTAAGGCAAAAATGATATGTTTTACCCAACATTTTTTTTGTTGTTGTCAAATGTATGCATATCACCTTACAGATGAATGAATTTGTGTATATACATTAAGGCCTTTTCGTTCAGCCCCATGAATCTGTGCTGCAGTTGTGGGAATACAGTTAAGCTTTCAGACTTCTGTGATGAGCTTTCAGGCTAATTCCCTTTGAAAGGATGTCTTCTCAGAAATGTGAAATGCGAGTGTGTTGGAACAGAGCAGGAGCTATAGCTGAACAACTGAAAGCATTGCCAGGAAGGATGGAAGGTAAATGGCAAGAAACAAAGGGACTCTTTTTCCCTGTGAATTAATTATTGCTCCTTTCACACATGATAATGGTACAAAGGTATAAATAATGCATCCAGTCATATAAGGGATGAGCTACAAGTTATGTTCTTGTACATTAAAAATCTTTATGAGTGTGGCAAGCGACACATATACTAACAGCTGCTAAATTCAGAATCCTGGAGCAGTATCTTATTTCAATATAAGTGAAGAATACTACAGTTATATTACCCTGAGAAATTCCCCTCTACATAAAAAAAAAAAAAAAAAAAAAAATCTTAAATGTGCATGGAATACTACTCAATGATTTCAAAGCACTTAAAAAATTATTTTTTTAAATTTCCGAATGTTCAACCCTCTCCGTGCACACCACATAAAACAGAGATAATGCTTTCTAGACTAGATCCCCCAAGCAGGAATCAGTGTCTCGGTACTTCCCATTGTTCCATACCTCCCTCTTTCCTGCCTTCATTATTGCTTTTCTTCCTTCCTACCTTCCCCTTCTTATTTTTTTCTTTCTGTTTCCTTTTTTTAAAAAATGCCTCCACACCTAGACCATAGCTTGGAACTTTTTGCTCAGTGTGTGTTGAATGTTTAACATGAGCTATCACCATTGTTATGACAGAAAAGGTGAAGAAGGTCTACCGTTGAGTTAAGGAATCTGAAACAGAAGCAGCGGTTCTTTCTAGTCTCCCTGTGTTGAGGAGCTTGGTACCACACAACACTCCATTGGAGCTATGACTTCTTGTTGTTACGTGCCCTTGAGTTGATTCTGATTCGTAGTAACCTTATTCACAACAAAAGGAACCACTGTCAAGTCCTGCTTCATCCTCACCCCCATTGGGGCTCCCACCATGCCAATCCATCTTGTTGGGGGTCTTCCTCTCTTTCAATCACCCCCTACTTTACCAAACATGATGTCCTTCTCCAGGAACTGGTCCCTCGTGATAACATGTCTGAAGTCTGGCCATACTAGTTTTTTTTGTTTTGTTTTTTTAATTCCCCCACTACCACAAATTATGCAGTCGAGTTTCCCACATTTGGGGAAATCGCAGGGGTCAGCACATCCGGAGTGCAATGGATAAGCC